GGGTTTAGGTAGGGATTAGGGTTTGGGCAGCACTGGTCGCAACAAATGCCAGACGCACAGGAACTGTGTAGTTCTTCTTAAGCATGATGCTTTTCAAAGCCGGCAGATGCAAGGAATCGCGCCTGTGTGTTGGCCGCAGCCTGGCCCAACGTTCAGGGGTTTGAGAAGATGACGCAAGGTTGATGATCACTTGAGCTGTTGTCTAAAGTAGTATCCCCCTTAAAAGCCCCTGTAATACTCCCCTATATCGTCCTCTATATAGCCCCCCTTCAGGACTTTAGGCTGTAGGTCATTTTTGATTCAGCACGATAGGACATCGTCTATTGCTCAGCCCTGAGCCCAAAGGCTGGATTCCTGTTACCTGACTTGCGGACTTCCAATGATAGTAGTTGCCATGATACTCTTGCAATACGAGTAGTAAGAAGACTTATGCTAACAAGGATGATGATGACGATGAGAATCATGTCTCTTCACGTCCTACTCCTTGAAGCCTGAACCACACGTGATCTTCCCCATGTATCGTCCTCATACACAGATCCAATAGGTGCATTTGCTCTTCAGGTCACAGACTGCTCTGTGGACTCTGAGAGATGTCAACCCTCTATGACAATCGCAAGCTACGCCTGAATTTCCATTAATGCCATGGGTCAATACAGAATGAACTGCAATCCTGCAGTTTTCAGTAGGAGGGTCAGGAGCACTCAGTAAGTAGATTTACAACCCCTACAAGCCATGCAATAATCCCAGCTATCCACGTTACTAACCTCATCACTGAACCCCCTGACCCTCTAAGTGGTAGTTTCCACAAAGAAGGGGACCCAAATATGAACCCAGAATACCATCCTCCATATTGTGGGGATCCTTAACTAGGTACCCCTAATTTTGGGAAACCACCAAGCAGAGCTTGAATATCTAAACCCCAAGCCCTAAATCTTAAACCCTAAACCCTAAATCCTAATCCCTAAACCCTGATACCGGCCTCTTGCGCCTCGCGCGCATCTGCTCGGCTCTGGAGAGCAAAGTTCAGGTCCTTCGCAAGGCGGTCTTCCAGCATCCCTCAAGAAGTTCTAAAATGGGGGGACGCCAATATAAACCCCAGTCCCTTTTCCAACCCCTCGCACCTTTTCTGATGCTAGCAATCGCTGGGGAGGAAAATGTCAGGATTTAGGGTTTAGGGCTTTATGATAGGGACCCCCCCAACAAGGTACTCCTCATTCTAGGAAATGAGAGGTTAACTGGGTTGCTGTTGAGGAACTCAAGCTAAGTGACTATGATAAGGGTATATGGGTGGTTGTCAAAATTATGGTCCCTTTCTGGATCCCCATGATAATACGGCAATCCCCATTATAATACTGCACCTAGTAATATCTAGGGTACCAAAAACGCGACCAAAATTTTGACAACCACCCATATAAGGTATATAGGGTTTAGAGTTACGAGATCCCTCGAGAAGTTTCTTACTGGTTCTTAGTAGGGAGTAAAGGAATATGATACCGGGTTTAGGGTTTAGGGTTCCCATAAAATCCCTATATATAATATATTCCTATAATACCTACTCAGATCTGAGAAGGTTGAGTCTAGAATGCTTCCAGGCAACTTCTAGGTGGCTCTGCAGGGGCGAACAGGCTTGGGTGCTTCTTGTTTGCGTTTTGTCAGGTTGATTTAGAATTAGTTCTGGGTGAATTCCTCTAGCCCAATAGAAATATTACAGATCCTGAACAAGATTATAGGTTTCAAGAATATATTGTCCAGATTTCTAATGTTTTTGTAGTTCTAATCTTTGTACCTGCTATAAGTAATTCTGACACTAAAGATCTTAGGACTTGGAGACGGATGATTGGATCCCCTTCCCTTCCTCTTATTCGCTGCGTTCACCCAATAAAAGGAGCAAGGAGCGTGGGTTTAGGGGCTTAACGTGAGCAATGACGCGACTTAGGCAACCACTCTGCCACTTGCTCACACAAACCTGATGTTACAAAACGCTTCATATACACCAATACGTGTGGGCAGCACAAAAAAACTGATAACGTGCGTCAGGATAACAAAGCTGCTCGGGCACAAACCTGTGGTAGTATGCTCACCTTCACTGCGTCAACTGGATCCCCTGCCTGCTTTTCGGCGCTCTCTGTCTCAGAGAAAGTCTCGTACCTGTGGGTGATGAGGAATTCAGATTAAAGCTGTTGCTCTTGTTTCGAATGCGGCTAGAAAATCCAATTCATCTGAGAAATTCTGAGAATTCTAGAGCTGTTGACACCTTCAGGAAAGCCTGCGGACAATTGTGAGGATGAGTGCGCATGAAGGAACGAGCACTTTGCGGCCTCAGATTTCTTCAATGTCAGGTTTTGGAGTTGGAGACTTAGGCCTGGGGCGTTGCTTGATGCGTAGGCATTGTCTTCCTTGCGGGTTCCCCAGAATTAGGGGTACCTGATTGGGGGTTCCCATAATGCGAACTGTAGCATTTTGGGGTCCACATTGGGGTCCCTATCTTGGGAACCTACTTCCTGTCACCGTAGGCGGGGTCTATCTTGACAGCACACTAACTAAGTAACTAACATGTTTTGTCTACTGCGCGTTCTTGGACGAATGGATTGCGAATGTCTAAGCGCGGTCTTTGGCGTAGACTTCCTCAATTCCTGTTTTTGGACCCAGCTGCGGCGCACCACTGGGGGACGGGAGAAATCTTGTCATGATACAAGTTCGCCAGGACGTGGGTACCGACCTGGTCAGCACCAGAATTCTGAGCCTTGCACAGAATCATGTGGCCACTCGGCTGCAGGTGTGTGGGCCGCAGAGAGTTTTTGTTGGATGTTAAGGAGATGGGACAAAGAACCTTTCTGACAAGCACTCTGGCATTCCAAAATGCTGACGCTCAGAGTGAATGTGGGCTTTCAAGCTGCCAGCAACAAGTTCAAGCGAGTGTCCTGGCTTGGGGTTGAAGGGCTACCAGCTACCGGTCCCAACCTAATCCCGCAAGAAACCGCTGCCGGGCTCGTGGCGTTGAAATTCGGAATCTGGCGCAGACTTGCATTCTGGCTAAGATCCTCAAGCCACCTCCAAGCTGTTAGGGTTTAGGGTTTAGGGTGTAATTTAGGGTTGGGCCGGACATGGTGGGCTTTGGGTTATGGGTTGACGTGTGTGATCTTCCATGCGCAGACTCTTCACCCCTCTTTTTGCAGAACATTGGGACAGTTCAGGGACCGCTGCAAAGTAGTTTCATTATATTGCCATTACTACTGACATGTTTACTACTATTATTGCTATTGTTGTTACTATTCTTACTATTTTTAGTGTTAGACTGTTATTGCTATTATTACTGCACCATTCAGTGGTTGCAGAGCCAGAGCCCACAATCATCGTCTCAAGAGCTTTGTAGCGTTTAGGGTTCAGGGTTTAGGATTTAGGGCTTCCTAGCTTAAGATTTTGAGGGTCTACTTCAAGGTCTGCCAAAAAGTCAGCTGCAGCATGTGTTCTTGAACTCCGGTCCAATAGTAATAGTAATAGTCATAGTAATAGTGATTCTCGATTCCTGCTGTGCCAGAAGTTGGTTGGCCGCAAGAACAGAGTGTGGGTATCTCACACAAAGGTGCCTCCTCCTCCAACTACCCTCTAGTTAAGGATACTGGCAGGGTCTTGGTAGAAACAGATCTCTGCTTCTAAGCATTCAAGACACAGAGATGTCAACGAAATCTGCTTTAAAGCTTGGAGCAACAGTCATCCTACGCCCACATTATCATATGAGCTATATTCTGAATTCCAAGCACCCCCCTTCACAACCCCTATAATAGTCCCCTATATAAGCTTGTGTGATAGGTTGTCAAAAATGGGGCCCAGGATAGGGGAGTGTGGGGGCCCTCAGTGTGGATGTTATATATATATATATGTATTACGACTAGTACTATAATTACTATTATTACTAGTAATTACTACTCTTGCTTTTGTTAATAGTAATACTACTACGTATTACTCTTATTGGTATTCTCACTATTGTTACTATTTAGAGGTCTCATCTTAAGAAATAGAATAGACATGTCAGTCAGGATCTTGGAGGCTGCTGCAAAGTCAGTGCCGCGCATGCCGCCAGGCCACCCGGGGTTACTTGCCAAGTCTTCACCAGCCACCTTGCATTGAAAAAGGGAGGCGCTACGGTGGATGGAGGATATCTAACAGAATCTGGCACCACATAGGTTTCCCAAGCCGTAATTATGGGTGAGTATGGGGTATATTGGTTGTGCAAGATTTCCTCCATTTACGGTATTCCCGATCCAAGCCGCAACCCAAAAGGGCTCGGGAATTGAAATTAGGGGCTTTTGGAGCGTTCGGGGTTTGGGGAGTTTAGGGTTTAAGGTTCCGGGTTCCAGGTTCCGGGTTTAGGGATTAGGGTGCTAAGGGACTTCAGGGTTTAGGATTCAGGGCCTGTAGAGTTTAGGATTTTTGGTTCAGGATGTTTAGGGGCTTTAGGGCTTAGGGACTTCAGGGACAGATCTCCACACGAGCCTCAGAGCAATCACTCACTGAGTTTGGATTTAGGGTTTAAGGTTTAAGGTTTAGGGTTTAGAGTTCAGAGTTTAGGGTTTAGCGTTTAGGGGGGTTCATGCCAAATGTTGGCGTCGTGGGATTCAACTTCCAACGTCGCTAAGCAAAAAAAATAAGCCGTGCATGAGAGGTCATCATACCCTAAACCCTAAACCCTAAACCCTAAACCCTAAACAGTTACAGTATGACTCAAGGTGCACCAGGCAGGAGTTTTACTTGCTGGTGGTTAGCAGGGAATACAGGAATATGATCCCTACATAGTCCCCATATTCTACATTCCCTATATTCCCTTCTTTCCTACCAATCCCCAGTCCAAAACCCTAAACCCTAAACCCTAAACCCTACACCACTAACTCCAAGTAATGAAAGGCTGTTGGCGATTCCCAATGCCCAGGTTGCCAAGCTTCTTCCAGTCCCTAGGAGTCAAGTTTTTGGACCATGCACAGCAAATGGAGATGGTCAATCTAAGGTAGCGGATACAGGATTTCATAGGGATCCCCTTAAAGGTGATTATAGGGGTTAGATATTATAGAGGTTCTACAGGGGTTATATAGGATTATGTAGGGTTCTGTTGGGTTTAGAGTTTAGGGTTGCCGCAAATTCGGCGGTACCTTTTGGGGGATTCCCATCATAAGGATTCTGGCATGTGGGGGTCTATGTTGGGCTCCCCCTGTGGATGGAAACTACCATTGATACAACCTGGCAACATACTGGGTTGCTGTTAAGGAACTTAAATTAAGTTACTATATTGGGGAAACCCTAATATTTACTATGTATACCCATTATGGTAACTTAATCTAAGTTCCTTAACAGCAACCCAGCATTGTCTCCCTTGTCCCTGCCCGCTGCCTACCGCCCACAGGCCTCAATGAGGCAAAACGGAAAGGTCATGGCACTGTCCTGCACCACAAGAAACTAATTCGGCGATACTGATATTACATTCCTCCCCCACCCTAATATCGGATATGCTTGGGGGGAGATTTAACATGAGTGTGAGAGAAGTACATGTCTTCCAGAATTGGACATCTGCTGGGATCAGAGTAGGACCCACAAGCCCGGCGTGATGTTGTCCTTGTCCTTTCTGGGGCACATCTGAAATCCTTATATCCCCCTTATGTAGGTATAATATGGTGTATGTACATATTTGTGGGGATCATGTTATGATATGACGCGATCCCATATTCTATCTACTTAGGGGGGACTATACCTGTAGCTTGCGCCTCTAGCCAAACTACAACGAACTGAGACGCCGTTGAAGTGTTAAGGCGTAGTTAGGTACAGGATCATCTGCGGGGCACCACAATCAATCAATCATGACCCTGCATCCATAAACTCTACAACCTAGCCCTAAGTAGTAGTTTCCGTTTTCTTTTCCATCATCCCAATATAATCCTGTTACAACCCGTATATAAACAGTTTATGACGCCGTGGCGGTGCGTATTTGTAGTGTTCAGATTTCCACAGAAATCCTCACTCATTTCTATGTATTGTAAGATTTGAGTAAAATGCTTTAGGCAGATCTCGCATTTCCCTAGAAATGGATCTGGTTACGCAAGTAGACATTGAAAAAAACACGTTCAAGTATATAAAAGTCTTAGTACACAAAAGTCTTTATCATGACCAAATTATGCTGCAGCAGACCTGCTACACAACCTCTTGCCTGAGTACTTCCCTAAGCCTGAACTTCTAGAAACTTCCATGAAATATTCTCACAGACTATGCTATGCCGAACATGATGCATTTACTTACGCATAGATGTGCCAATATACATCCTGCCACCATCAATATGGATATGATAGCCTATACGACTTGCATTAGTCTTTAAGCACTCTACATACTTACCTGCATTTATCTAAGTTTTATCATGTCACATTAGCTGTCTTAGGGGTAATTTTGCTAACCTAACACGGATATCTATGTATATAGCAAGGGTGAACTGCAGCATAAAATGAAGCAAAAGCCCACACACAAAAAAATCAAAAAACCTCGAAAATACACACCCTCCACGGCGACATACTCTCCAGTATAAACCCAGAGAGGCTCCCTCCCCAAACATCGCCTCCTCAACAACACCTGTTCCCAAGCTCTTCGTGTACTGGATGTCCTGAGGGGTTGTGGTTTGCGCGATTTGCGCACCCGCATCGAGGGAATGAAGAGATTTTGGCTCCAGAAGATGTTTGGGACTTGGGACTGTGTCGATAAAGTCATGGAGGGCTCTGCTTCTTCGATTCGCCATAATCCGATCGAGGCATGAATCAATGCGTTCACCGCGCACGGACTACAAAAGCTCATTCTGGCTCCGCCCGTATAGCAGATGGCTTGTTAGCACTTCACACAGCTCATGTTTGCACCAGGATACAGGGGCGGTCAATCTTGCTTGCGGAAATAGTACTGGGGACTTAGGGCTATATGCGTAGAATTCGGGAAAATGAAAAAAGAAAATGGAAACTACTGTTTAGGCTTCAGTATTTAGGGTCTCCCTGCCCTTGACCTCGCATCAGCTTGCCATGATAGCAGAAGATGTGTTCATCTGCCCCAGGCAAAAGCCGGACTTCAATCCTGGTCGAACGCTATCCGGACGTTGCCACCTCATGTCCAAAAGAACAGTCAGAAGTCAGCTACAGCAACCTTGAGCACAGCAGCCCAAATTTTCAGTCCGGTTCCTGCCCGNNCCCCCCCCCCCCCCCCCCGCGATCTCCCAGAGCTTTATGATAAACGCGGACTTCTATAAGACGGCCCTTTAGCATTTGCACACCTGAGGCTGCCCTCGACGAGTAGTCGTCACACATCGGCTTCAAGACATGGACAGATGCAACGAGACCATGTAGCAATCCTAGCCCAGAAACCGACCACTGGATTGGAATCGCACATTTGCAAAGTGCGCATGACTGATCCCTTGCGGACGCGTCACCACGGAGTAGGTGGCGGCTTGCACCGATGGTAGCCACCGGCTGGGGACAGGAAGAAGTTGGGTTGGGGCATGGCAGAACGATGCAACAACCCTAGTAATAACAGTACTACAAGGAATAATAGCCATAGTAATACTAGTAGGAATATTAACAATAATAATGCACTAACAATACTAATAATAGCTAGACAGCTGTAGGACTTCAAATGCCTTGCTGCAAGGTTCACACATGCACTCAGGATTAACAACTATTGGGGCTTCACATCCCTTAACCCCAAACCCTCAACAGTAGTTTCCATCTTCTCTTCCATTCCCCCCTACGTGCCTTACATAATCCCTACAATCCTCAAGAACGACCTTACATCCCACTATACCCCATATAACCTTAAACCCTAAAACCTAAACCCTAAACCTCACCCCTGTATGGAGATAGTATACAATGGGTACCCACCTTGCAACGCCCTGCCGCGAGCCTGAAATCCAGGAGTCGAGCAGATGCTAGCCACCTGCTGACGTAGAGTCATTCAGATGATATGGGTAGTTCCCAAAATTAGGGATATTGCCCCCATTAATGGAGAATCAAATGGAAAAGAAAATGGGAAATGAGATGGAAACTAGGATTATATAGGGGTTCATAGGGTTTTAGGGAAGTTCCCAAAATTAAGGTCCCATTTTGAGTACCCCTAAATATGAGGTGCCGGAATATAATCTAACCCCAAAAGGGCCATATGTTTGAGGACAATTCATCTAAGAGAATACGAGGTCATATATTGGAGTTTCACAAGAGACGTATAGGGCTTTTCATACAGATGGATGATGCATGAGTGTATACAGGTCACATATTCGGGTCTGAAAGGGGAGGTATGGGCTTTTGATAGATGACACGGAAGTGTATACAAGGTCCCAGTGTTCCTGAACGAGAACTAACCGTAAACATGATAGAATACGACCAGCTGGGAAATGTTTGTGCGCTTCTGCGACGTGACGTCAGCAATGAGATCCCAGAGGTCTACCAGCACCAAAAAAAGCATATATGGGGCTGAGCTGGCAAGCGCCCCCATTTACACCAGACGTTTAAAAGGGTTTCCCAAAGTTTGGGGTCCCTTCGCGAAGATCTCAATCATGAGGAGTAGGTTATTTTCGGGTCTGTATCAGTTTCCCACCAGCTGTATAAACTGCCACAGTTTCTGACGGTTGGCTATAGGGTGATTATATAGGGAGATCCAGTGAGTGGCGAATAGAGGTATAGGAATTGAAGAATGAAATGGAAACTACGTTTTGGGATTTAGGGTGTAGCTTTGTGAGTCAGACTCTTACGTTTGGTTAGCAAGGATTGAAGGAAAGGATCCTTCTGATGGTGCTTGTACAAGTACTCTAAACCCTAGACAGTGGCTTCCGGTTTTCTTTTCCATTCCTTCATTCCCTGCAAACCAGACATACCTACTTCGGAGATGCATGGTAGTTTCCCTAAATAGGAGGTACCCCAATGTAGACCCCAAAATACTATAATCCTCATTATAGGGACCCCAAAAAGGTACCCCTAATTTTGGGAAACCCTAATCCCTATAAACCCCTATATAAACCCAGTTTCCATTTCATTTTCCATTTTCTTTTCCATTTGATTCTCCATTATACTAAGTACCCCTAATTTTGGGAAACCCTAAACCCTATAAATCCCTAAATATACTATCCTATGTACCCCTATATAATCCCTATAATCCCCCTTTAAAGGTACCCCTAATTTTGGGAAACCCCCGCATGGCAGGAGCCCAGAGGCGGCCTGCTCGGCGAACTTGTCAAGCTTCGTACAGCCATCTGCACCCAGTGCCGATACCAGGGAAGTGTCCTCCAGGGTTCATGTAAGCCAGAGTCTAAACTCCTGATATCCCCCTTAAGAAGCCCTATGTCTTAGGGTTTAGAGTCTAAGCTCCTAGCATCCCTTTACAACCCCTATAGCAGTCGGCTATATAACCCCATTGAAGGAGTTTAGACTATAGCTCATGTTCATGTGGCTGCAAAACAGGTGCGCACGTGAAACTGAAGGTTCTGAACCAAACGTCGATGTGCAACACATTAATAAGCCTCAATCGGCAACAACCAATCAAAAGATGGGAAGACTGCCAATATCCCACCAAGCTTCAGGAGAACTGGTGTTAAGCTGCGAGGCGGGCTGCCTTCACAAGTCAAGACTAGCGGTAATCGGAACAAGCGGTAAGTCGATCACCCCCGATTTACGGTTTAAAGGCTGCAAGGAACTGCAGGAAATACATCCAAAAAGCGTTTCATAGTCTACGCGGGAAACATCCTTCAACTTTACCAAACAGCACTTCCCGGCCAGTCCTCCGAACTGATCATGGCCCGGATGCGGTCAGCAGCAGACTTCACACTGGGGACCATGCCTAACTGTATCCATGAGTTTCAGTTCCTGTGGCCGCACTTGTTGGCTCCAATTGGGTTATGTTGGGTCTTCCTCATCAAAGCAAGGCAAGAGTGGCAATACCCTAAACCCTAGACCCTAGACCCTAAACTGCAAGGCATAAAGTAAAATTCCGTCCGACTTTCGTGGAGAGGGCTCTCGTCATTACCCTGTACGCGATTTTACTCGGAGTATAGGAGGCCTTGGGGTTTAGGGTTTACCCTTGGCCCTCCCTTTTTGTCTCCCCGTCAAACAGCTGGTCAAGTTTTGCATGGACACCTCTGGGCGTTGGTGAGGTGAAGCCCAGAGGGATGTTATGGTAAAATATAGTACTTTGCAAAATAATGTACGATAGCATAGTATAGCATAATATACTATATAATAATATAAATAATTTGCTATTGCATAGTATAACCTCCTAGATTGCTCTGCAAACGCCAGCCAAGGGGCTAGATTCATCGGGCTTCCCTTCCAGGGGGAAGGCTTGTGGGCTGCCTGCAGCAAGATGCTAGGCCTAATTTAGAATTTGGGTTAAGGGTTTAGGGTTTAGAATTTCGGGTTTAGGGTTTAGAGTTTTTTTTGTTGTAGGAGTTTAGGGTTCATGGTTTTACGGTTTAGGGTTTAGGGTTCAGGGTTTAGGGTTTAGGGTTTAAGGACATTCAGGCTTCCGCCTACGGGTTAAGTTTTAGGGGGAAGGATTTTGAAGTCGTTATGGAGCTTCCATAAGCAGGATTATAAAGGATATATAGAGGGAATGGAGGCTATAAAGGGATCTATAAGCACAGGATGGCGAATACTCAGAAGCCCCAGGCTTTGTTTAGGGTGTAGGAGGTCCAACGAAGCATTTCGCCCAAGACCACCTTACCGTGCCCCCTATTTTACAAGGATACTTGGAGCTGAGATTCAAATAGCAAAATCCCACTATAATGAGCCCGGACCCTTGTGTTGAATCCTGCCTACCATCCCAGGCGCATTCAAAAATACCTTGCCGTGCTGTCCCAGGGCCCATGCCTAGCTGCTGGAGAGGCGTAAAAGCATGCACATCCAGGGCAGCGCCTTAGTCGTGACATTGCACATTTGAAGATATTATAGTACATTATATTATTTTGCCGCATGTTATAGTAGTATATATATATATAAATAGAGGAGGGTGCTGGCATTTGCTTGGGAATCCTTCCTTCGTAGAGACGCTGTGAGAACTTTCTCAGACAATGGGAGGATGAGGTAAGACCATTGTGCAGAAGTCGCTACATGGTTCAGGTCTCCATGATATTGCATTGGTCGTCGCAGACTCCGGTGGAATCCCACGCAGACACATCATGTCAACCTGAGTTACACTAAACCCTGAACCCTAAACCCTGAACCCCAAACCCTAACCTGAATTACTTCACACAAAGCCCTGAGCCAAGCCCACCACTGCTACTGTCCAGCTCCACCAGGTCACTGCCCTCGCCGATGCCTGTGCAAGACTAGGTGTCTGAGGCTGCTTCGTATTAGCTACAGTCACTCCAGGTATCCCTTTTGAGTTCCCTTTGATGGTGACTGACTACTCCTGCTACTATTAGATGAGCCACAGTCAGCATTTCTCATGCAATGCTTGAACATGGGTTCCTATTAGGGAAAATATTACGGACTCTACTAAACTACCCAAGGGACCCTGTAATAGTGACCGAGCTCATATTGTCCGCTCCTAGTCTAGGTCTCAGCTCTGTTGGGCTGTTGATCTGTGAGCTTCGAAAGTTGAAGTGTGGGGATATTGTCAGGCTTTTTTGCATATACT